TAAAGACAACCAGTGTTTGCTAGCTTCTGGGCTTAGCCTCCCCAGCCTCTTAGTACCACAACTGTTTGTCTAAATTGTTTTCTTCTATTACTGTCTACCAGTCCTCCCACCTCTCCCCTGGTCTGAGTTTGCTGCCTTTTGTACTGTGGTTGGGCATACCCTGATGCGAAGGTAAACACCGTTAGCCAGGTGATAGACTGTGAGCGTTAGTTGACACGCCTTTTGCTGAGAGCACTTTGCCAGCCTCCATCAAAATTTTAAATGTACCAACCCTTTGGCAGAAGTTCCCCTTGTGGAGGGCAATGCTACAGAAATATTTCAGCTGAAGATGTATGCACAGGGATGTGTATTATAGTGCTGTATGAAGTAGGGAGAGACCGGGAACAACCTAAATGTCCATCAGTGGGGGACTGGTTAAATAAGTCACAGAACTGACTAATACAATACTGCATAGCAAAAAAAAAAAAAGAGAGAGAGAATAACGTAGATGTTTAGGTGCAGATATAGAAGGAGATATATAATGTATTGTTAAGGGACCACAGAATAGACTGTGTACAGCAACTACACTCCAGTTGTTTTCAAAGGAAAAAGGATTTAAATTCACATTTATACTTGGTTGTGCATTGAATGATTGTGGAAAGATAAGTAACCTATTAGCAGTAAGCTTTGTGGAGGGGATCCTGGGAAGTAGGAGACAGTCTTTCTTTTCATTGTTTATCTCTTTGTATCTTTTGAACTCATACCATGGGAATATTTTTCCTTTTCAATTTTTTTTTTTTTTGGCGGTACGCGGGCCTCTCACTGCTGTGGCCTCTCCCGTTGCGGAGCACAGGCTCCGGACGCGCAGGCTCAGCGGCCATGGCTCACGGGCCCAGCCGCTCCGCGGCATGTGGGATCTTCCCAGACTGGGGCACGAACCCGTGTCCCCTGCATCGGCAGGCAGACTCTCAAACCACTGCGCCACCAGGGAAGCCCCTCAGATATTTTATAAGTGTCCTTGACGTTACTTACTTATTTATTTATTTTGGCTGCGTTGGGTCTTTGTTGCTGCGCGTGGGCTTTCTCTAGTTGAGGCGAGCGGGGGCTACTCTTCGTTGTGGTGCGCGGGCTTCTCATTGCGGTGGCTTCTCTTGTTGCGGAGCACGGGCTCTAGAGCGCAGGCTCAGTAGTTGTGGCGCACGGGCTTAGTCGTTCTGCCACATGTGGCATCTTTCCCGGACCAGGGCTCGAACCCCTGTCCCCTGCATTGGCAGGCGGAGTCTTAACCACTGTGCCACCAGGGAAGCCCTATCCTTGACATTTTATTCTACATTTTCTTCATAGTCCCATGTTGCCATTAGTACTTAATTCATTTCATTATAAAAGAAAACAGAAGTACTCCTGCTCTTGGCCTCTACGCTAGAGCCAGGACATAGTTTTGATCTTATCCTTCCTCACAATAGCACAGTATAACTAGTGTTTCCTTCCTGGTCATCCTTCACACCGTAAGATGTTAAGCACCCAGTGAAGGGACTGGTCCATACAAGGTATTCAATAAATGTTTAGACATTTTAAAAAATAAATTTATTTATTTATATTTATTTTTGACTGCGTTGGGTCTTCTTTGCTGTGCGCGGGCTTTCTCTAGTTGCCGCGAGCGGGGGCTACTCTTTGTTGTGGTGTGCGGGCTTCTCATTGCGGTGGCCTCTCTTGTTGCAGAGCACGGGCTCTAGGCACGCGGGCTTCAGTAGTTGTGGCTCGTGGGCTCAGTAGTTGTGACTTGCAGGCTCTAGAGTGCAGGCTCAGTACATGTGGCTCACGGACTCAGTAGTTGTGGCGCGCGGGCTTAGTTGCTCCGCGGCATGTGGGATCTTCCCGGACCAGGGATCAAACCGGTGTGCCCTGCATTGGCAGGTGGATTCTTAACCACTGTGCCACCAGGGAAGTCCCTAGACATTTGTTAAAAGTAACATCTAAGTGAAAACTTCTGAAACAAATGTGTACATTCCCCTATCTCAAGCTCTTTTCACGCTTTTTTTGTTTTGTGAGTCAGTCTCCGTTTTACCTTTGATCTATAACATGAGGATGGTTAAAACCAGAATCAGTCAGTGGTGAAAAGCTTGTGAGTGAGATGAAGAAAAATAATACTGATAAAGGACTCTGAAAGGATAAACCACACTTCCCTTGTGTGGCTCCTTTGCGTTGTAGCATTATCACAGTGTGATGCTCTCTTAAATAGTCACAGCTGTGTGTTTGTCACAGTGACAATCTGTGTGTGTGAACTAGTGTGCAAACTAGTGCGCACTGGTTTAAACTTTTGAATATCAGAGACTGCAGTGATGTGTTAAACATGAAGGCTGTGCTTAGTTGTTGTTTATAAAATATGGTGCTAAACGTATTTCTTATTTTCTAATAGACATTGGCCTCTTATTGTCCGCTAAATTACTTATTCCTACTTACTTTTCCTGAGGTGAAAATCAGTATCTACCAGAAAATAAATATAGCTCTGAAGGGGAAAAAGCTCAGGTCTGTTATGATATATAACTTTTATATCTTTATTAAAGCTGCCAAATGTAGACTTTATAGTCCCAGTGTAAGTTATATATAGATGATGGTTGTTTTAGGTTAAAACTTGGTACCTTTTCTGGATGTTCTCTCAGTTAACTTAATCCTTATGTTCAAACATAAATTGAAGCAGAACAGGTTCCATTTTCAGTGATTCTTACTAAATTTTGTTTTGGTTTTATTTCCAGCTGTATTTAATAACTGAAAGCCTCTTGTGGTTAAGAATAGTGTTTGAGATTTTGGTGGAATCTAATTATTTAAAAATTTTAAGCCTTAAAAAATGAAATGTAAAGTCATAGTGAAATTTCCTGATGGCTTTCATAGTCTGTTAGTTTAGTGTTGCTTATTTTAGAGGGGACAGTATCCACATTAAAATGTGTATTTACTGTAGTTGTAACGGTCTTTTTCAGCTCGTTTAAATATCAGTTCATTTAGCCACAAAGAGAAAACAAAAGGAAGTGTAAAAGGCTTATAAGCATAGGGCATGTGAGCCTGTTCCTGTTTCTTAACAGTTTACTAAAACAAGTGTCTAAGCACTGCCCGTAAAGCTTGTGTGCTCATGTGTGTGTCTGAGGCACAGGTGGGGATCTGCTAGTTTGTTTGCCCATTGCGTGGCTGTTCTGCTCCTTCGTGGGGGGGGGGGGTTTGTAACAGGGTGAAGGTCCCTGAGCGGAGGCCTTGTTCCTGGCTTGATTTTGAAGTCCTCGCTGTTAATCTAAAGGAACCTGCAGGACATGCAGCTGGAAGTCCGTGTGACAAGTGAAAGTCTGAGATCCAGAGCAAGTAGTGTGTGTGTGTGTGTGTGTGTGAGAGAGAGAGAGAGAGAGATTTTGCGCCCCCCCCCCCCCCCACACACACACACAGTCTAGTTGTTAACCTCTGCCAGCAGCCAGACTGAGGAGCTACCCTTTTAAATATCCTTGGGCTGCCTGTGCTCGGAGACCTCACCTAAATGTTATCAGGTAAAAACCTGGACAACTGAGTGTAATTCTCTTACTAAAGTATAGTACTGACTGGGCATCCTGCACTGCTGTTAGAGGTTAGATATCTTGATTGGTTGTTTGGGGGGTTTATGTACAAAGGAGAGTTGCTTGGGAAATGCTGGATTGTTGGCATATGCTCTTTGCTTCAGAGCCTGTTTAAAGGCAGGTTGCACCAACACTTGGCTAGTTAAGTCTAGTTTGTACAGCTTGTGTACTTTCAGTACCAGCTGTTGGTCCAAAGTTTCTTGGCTTAAGAAGCTGTGTCATTTTAAGTGTAGACTGTATGAGAAAGGGGTGGGGCAGCAGAAGCTTTTTATAGGGTTTCAACTCATTAACATTAATTTTTAAAGTAATATTTTGAGAATTTAACAGGGGAAGTAGAACTTGTATAAGATGTTTCTTTAATTCCAACACATACTTAAACTGACAGGGAAGATGGAGAGAATTTGATTTTTAAGTCATATTTTCCATATTCTGTTTTTTTCTTCCCAGTCAGAAACGGGTTCTTCAGCTTTCAGTGCCAATGAAGACAGGCTGTAATAAGCATTTTACACTCTGTCCTGCTCTTTGACCTCGGGTGTAAATGGGGGTAGAATGTTTAGTAACTGAGCGTGTGCATAGTTAAACAGCTAGGGATCTGACATACAGTAAGTTTGGTGTGGTATTTGGTTTATATTTCAGCATAATACTGAAACCATGCAGAATTCCTCCTGGAAAAGTGTTCAACAGGATGCCAGAAAGGCCATGTTACTGATAAGTTTCTCTACCTCAGTAGCCATGCAGAACCTGGAAAAGTGTTCAACAGGATGCCAGAAAGGCCATGTTACTGATAAGTTTCTCTACCTCAGTAGGTTTTTGTAGTGTGTTTTGTTCCCCGCTGCTGTTGTATCCTTTATTGTGGTTCTTTGGTAACTGTGCCACGTGAACATGAAATTCTACACGTGAGTGTTTATTGGTTTTGTAGAAACCCCAGGATACTGTCAGCTTAATAACTGTGTTGTTTTGTGGGTTGCTGAGAGGGCATATTAAAAGTCAGTCAGTTGATAATAAAGTTTTCATTAATTATTTTACATTTTCAAGGTAATATTAAAGACGGTTCAACCAAAATCAGAATTAAACAATAACATGGGCTGCTGGTTTGCTGTGGTTTAAGAGAGTTTGGCTATAGCTGGCTTTCTTCCCCTTCTATTACTGACTGTCACCTTCCTGCAGAACTCAAATATGGTCTTTAGGCTGTATGGTTGCATAATAAATTTAATTGTTAATTATATGTATTCTTGCTCTTGATGATTCACTGCCTTTTTGTATTTTAGCTTTGCTTTTGAGAAAGTGTTACAGAAATGATAATTATAACATAGATGTCTGCTTAAACGTAAGATGAGTTGATACTTTGTGATAAGCCTTTGCTTCATCTTGATTGCCAAAGAAGCTTATAACTCACTGAGATATTTCTTTATATTTGTGTTTGTTTAGGATATGTCTCAGGAAGGCTATGGAACTAGGTCTCAACCTCCTCTGGCTCCTGGAAAACCCAACCATGAAGACTTGAACTTAATACAACAAGAAAGACCATCAAGTTTACCAGTAAGATTATTAAATGTACTGATTTGGAAATTCAATGAGTTACAGATTTCTAAAAAGAGCATTGGTTTTTGTTTATTCTACTTTATATTGAGACTTGGGGGAGAAGCTTATGGATTTCAGATATATTTGTGCTTTATTAATTTTTATTTTACAGTTTCCTTCTCAAAGGAGCTGTGTAGTCCTAAATAAGTCTATTTCATTTGTAGGTGTCTCCGAGTCCAGTGTTGTAGGTATCTCTAAGTCCAATTGGAAGCTTTTATTTGGCTGATAGGTTTTGTGGCAGAAAGGTGTTTCTTTTGTACAGTTGGTGCTTTGCATAGCCTGTTGCTTTCCGGTAGTGATTCAGAACAGAGGTATCTATATGTAAAGGAAATTCCCATTTGGCAAAGAATGAGATAAAGCATCCAGTGGTAGTTTGAATTTCTTCTGGGACTTCATGTAACGAGAAGTCACCCAGTCTTTTTTCACCCAAAAGAAAGTATTTTAGTTTAAAATTGGAAAATACAGCCTATAAGTATTTCCATTAGCAAATTATTGGGTATATATTGACTAGAGTAGTAGCTAAATTATAGGTTACATGTTAATGCCCTTAAATAGTTCACCTGTGCTTAATTTTCTTTTTTTAATCCCCCCATGGGCAACCTCATTTAAATGAGATATTCCTTAAAAATTCAAAGAATATATTTGTGCAAACAAATTTTTATATATGTTTTCTTGTTAAAATATTTTGATGTGAAGACATTGTTATTGCTTAATCTCTATTAAGAAGTCATATTTAAGACAGGTACTCAGACTAGCCATGATTTTAATTTGAATCTTAAACATGTTTACATTAAGTAAGATTTATTATGTTACTTCTAAACATTTGAGAGCCAGCATTTGTAAAGAATGTTTTACATGACATTTGGCACACACCATACCCATTTTTAAGTTATATGTAGCCATATAGTAGAAGGTAAGTGATGGCTACAGGATGTGTAATATCTTTGAATCTGATGCACATGTATTTGAAACCCTAATTTTTACAGGTTTTATTTCTATGGTGGGAAGTGGGTAAAATTTACTGTGGTCATTTTTTAGTCACATTGGAATATTTCTTATCTAGTTATTTGGTTTTTGAAGGAATGAAAAAGGTAATGGACTCTGTGTACTAAGCTGTAAGCTTTTTTCTTCAGCAGATAATTCACAGCTTGGTGACCATGGTGTGTGTGTGTGTGTGTATGTGCGTGTGCGTGTGCGTGCATGCGCGCGCACCTGCATCTACAAATGCACGTGAATGCTGTTGATAAATGCAACATTTGCTGAACATTTGGGAATTGGCTCGTGGTTTTAGGAAATTTAAATTGACTCATGGGAAGGTGGGCAGTGGTTGACAGTGAATTTGACTTTTTTACCACAGGATTTTTAGTGTTTTAGATAAGCTCTACCTTTTAGGTTTGTCGTTGGCTGGTGATGTGTACTCTTTTACAGGTTGGAGAATTTGTTAAAGATTGATACCGATTTTCTACATAGCTATAAGAATAGTTTGCAGCGTACTGCTTTCTTCATATCCACTTGAACTTCTGTGTCACCTACTAGGCTATGCTTCTTTTCATTGCTCTGCTTTGGAATCAATGGCTGACTTTCAGTTAACTTTACAGCATAATTGTGGGGGAATGAAGTGTGGTAGTCCCAGAAAACTGAAGAGCCCTGCTTTGGGATGGTGCAGAGTTGATTACTGGAAAAGGAGCTCAGAGTATTTTAGGAAGTGAACCAATATATTCTTCAACAGTTTAAGTCTTTTGGATTGTTCTGTTTGTATACATACATTGGCTAACTTTATTCTTTAATGTCTATCTTCCTTCCCTAGGGGATTTAAGGTTGCTCATAATATAAATTTCCTTACAAAGCTATTAAAAAAAGAAACGCCCTAATTGGTGGTTTCTTTTTTGTTTTTGTAACTCACAGATAAATAGCATGCTGATTTTAATTGTGATTTTAATTTGAATTTCAAACATGTTTACATTAAGTAAGATTTATTATGTTACTTCTAAACATTGGAGAACCGGCATTTGTAAAGAATGTTGTTATACATGACATTTGGCGCATACCATACCCATATACTCAATAACATTTCAATAATCTTTTTTTAGAGAGGAAAGTTTCCAGGTTTTATGCTGAGTACATAGAAGCATCAGTTACTGAATAAAGGACAAATTGTAGATTGGTTGGTTGTACCTACCTAAACCTCCTGCCCCCAATCTGTTAAGATGAAAATTGGCTTTATTTAAATGAATTTTGGTGTTCCACTTTTCTTTCAACAGGTTTTGTTTGTGTAGAAAGTTCTTCTATGTAGAGTTTAGAAATGTATTTTTATTGATATAGACACTGCATCAATACGTTATCTAAAACAAAGGTAATTACAATTTTGGGGAGAGATTTGTTGGTATTCTATATGGCTCTAATATGTATTTTTACTCTAACTTGGATAAATTGATTCTATAAGTACCATGAAACTGTATTTGTTATCACATCTGAATTTATTAGGTCTTTTGTAGATTTCTGCTGTGTTTTTTCCTTTTCAAGTGTTAGTGATGCAAATTTTGTCTTTTTACTTAAGGTTAAAGGTCATCCATCATATTTGTAATCTCTCGTTTTGTAATTTTGAACCAAGGAAATTGTGGGTCTTATCTTATGTTTAAAAATATGTGGTAAAAATGATTCTAATGTATAATCTTTATCCATTATGTATATGACTGTGAGAAGGAAGCTTCTTAAGTAGTTGTTTCTTAATTTTTTGCTTAAGTTGAGTTAGACTGATAGAGTTTGTAATGTTTTTCTGCATGTGGGGTATTTTCTGTAGTGTATTTTTGTTATACAGTTAACTTTCCATTACAAGAAATCAAGGCATTTTCTTATGCTAGATCTAGAATTTGCTTCTCTCAGCAAGTTGTCCTCTCACCATTGTTTAAATTGGTATTTGTCTATATTTGCATTTCATTAAGTTCTTGGTGATCTTCAGTAGCTAATGCAGTTGTGTTTTCCATCTGACTGAGTTCTTCAGGTCATCCACATAAAGCCAATGACTGATAACTTAATATTTGTCGTCTTGTTGTCTTGGTGCCATGACCAGTAATATTTACTTTTCACTTAATGCACTCAGACCTAAGCTCAGAACAAATCTTCCTTAATAATGTCTACTGCTTTCTATACCTCTTAATCATATAGCCTTCTCCCTGTTGAGGTTCATTAGCTTACATATCCTTGGTGTTACCGTTACTAACAAATTTTAACATATAGCATGTGATATAAAAATTAGCTTGAAGAACTGACTCTATCTCCTTGGAATATTATCACTTAAAATTTGAGCACATTCTATAGTTTTTTTCTACCTCTAATATTGATACGAAGTGAAGCCATCATTAAGTAAACTGTACAGTGGAAGGTCTAAACAAATGCTATAGCTTATCAACTCCTTTATTTTATAAACATTGAGTATATCTCAATTTACACTGACCCCCAAAATATGATTTAATACATTTTTTGTTGAGTCTTTTTTAACTTTTTCATCTCTTATGGCATTTACTAGTCATCCTTTTATTGCAGTTACTTTTTTGTTTGTTTTGCGGTACGCGGGCCTCTCACTGTTGCGGCCTCTCCCGTTGCGGAGCACAGGCTCCGGACGCGCAGGCTCAGCGGCCATGGCTCACGGGCCCAGCCGCTCCACGGCACGTGGGATCTTCCTGGACCGGGGCACGAACCCGCGTCCCCTGCATCGGCAGGCAGACTCTCAACCACCGCGCCACCAGGGAAGCCCTATTGCAGTTACTTTTATAGTTGTCTTGCCTCTCCCTCTCACCCTCAACAGACTAGGATCTTTTCACAGTATTTATTATGTTTTATTCAGTAAGTATTTTCCTAATAGAATTTATGTAAGAATTTTTAAGTACATTCTTCCCCTAGTTGCAGAATTTTCTTTTAATTGCTTACAGGATCTTTTCCAAGGTATTGAATTGGCATCAGGAGAGCCTATGTTCTCCATATGCTACTGATACTAAAGGATTATATGAATGTGGTATCTGTATTGGCAGGGTGGTTTTATTCTTAAAACTATTTTCTTTTATTATAAAATGACATTTGAGTTTTACTTTGGTAACCTTAACCTTCAAGAGAAGAAAAAGTGGGCACTTTTGTATAATTAATCTAAAAGTAGTGTGAAACATTCTTTTCTCAGTAATGTATATTTTTTAAGAAAAATATTTATTTAGGCTGCGCTGGGTCTTAGTTGTGGCACGCAGGCTTTTCGCTGTGGCATGCGGGATCTTTTAGTTGCGGCATGCGTGCTGATAGTTGTGGCATGCGTGCGGGATCTAGTTTCGCAACCAGGGGTCGAACCTGGGCCCCCTGTATTGGGAGCACAGAGTCTTATGCGCTGGACCACCATAATGTATATTTTTAATTGTAAAAGTGAATAAATTGACAAACAGTAATCATGATTTCAGTGAATACAGTAAATACATGTTTATACTATTATTATAAAGCATCTGCAGACACAGTTAACCATTTACATAACTTTGAAACTGAAGGTACAGACACACTTTGATATCTTGGAGAAGTGTTAAATGGAGCGTACAACATTCCGTTTCTTACCTAGGATTTACCGTAATTTCCTTGCTCTAAGCAAATAGTGCTTTCTCCTCCAGGGACCTGAAGAGTTGCTGATACTCCTCAGTTTAGAAATAACTTATTTGTGTTTTCTTCAGAGAGACCTGCCACTGGTTTGTATTTCAGATAGCAGGTCCATTATTCTGTTTAACTAAGATACAGAGTATGATCAGTCATATTCTAAAGGCCTTTGCGAAGGCCCATCAGGTCATTGAAAACCTCTTTCTGACCCTTTCTTTCTTAAATAGGAAACATTTAAAGAGGTTGACATGAAAAGAGTTTGATCTGTCCAAGTTTAGTAAAAACCCTAAATGTCCTGTGGAACAGTGCTTATGGCACTTTTGTTACTTTTGTTG